GGTTAATTATGGAAATTCCAAACCTTCCTTCAGTTTTATATGAACTTTCCTTGCCATATAGCCTACTTACTACCAAGGCCAGCTCAAGACATTTTGCTGATGGAAACAAAGGTCACAGTGGTGTCCATACTATAGATTCAACATCCATGGCTCAAAAATATTTTTAATTCAAAAACCAAACCTTTTTTTGTCATGTTATATAAGTAACACCATTTTACCATGGCATTATATAAAATGGAATTTGAACACCCACAGACTTTGCTATCCAAAAGGGTCCTGGAACCAAACCTGAGCAGATACCAAGGGCCCAAGGGACACACTTTGGGAAAAAAATACTGTATTGGATGTCATTCCAGGCATCTCTGAGGGTTCAAAAGAAGAATTGGATCTCTAAACAAATTCTGCTCAGACGTATCACTTGGTCAACAATCAAATCCCTATTGCTAAAAAATACTGGAAGCTCTTGGGCTGGGAGACAACCTCTCAAAGGTGAGGCTGATGGAAGGTGAGCTTCCAAGGGTTATATAATGCAGAGACAAGCAAAGAAAATCAAAATGTACGAGAGTGACTCATCGTCCACCTAATAGCAATGAGGACTGTGCAAACAGCTTAGCAAGAGAGAATTCACTGCCTAGTCCATTGTCAGACATTTTCCAGTCTCAAACTTCAAAGGGATGCAAAACATATCCAACAAGTTCATAAAATATAAACACACTTTTTCATGTCACTGAACAGCTGTTAAAGTTCAGCAATGATGCAAACAAGGACTCCAAAACCCATTTTCCTGATGACAGAGACTGAACTCATTATACTTACTTATTTTATTGCATTGTTTTTCTTGATCTATGTCTGTTTGGGCATGTCTCCATGTAAGCTGCCTTGAGTCCCTATGGGGAGATGGAGGTGGGGTACAAAAATGTTGTTGTTGTTGTTGCTGCTGCTGCTGCTGCTGCTGCTGCTGCTGCTTTTTGAGCTAGAACTCCCCAAATCAAATAAATATAAGCAAAATATTAGGAATGCAAAAACAATTCTGAGGAACATAAAGACCAACAATACAGCAGTCTTCAGAAGGAGGAGGAGGAAATAAGCCAATGCTGCTCTGAAAGAACACATACATATAACTTTAGCATGCACACATTTTTGTCCTCTTTTGTTCTCTTTTTTGAAAGTATGTACAAGGCCACTTCGTATTATCTGTCCATTTTTTATAATCTATACTATTGTTCTCCCCTAGACCATTGAAAAAGCCCTTAGGTTTGTCCTAAACTTATGTATTTCATCAGCACAGAGGTCAGCTGTGACATGGTATGCATGTTGCCCCAGTCTATATGGCTCCATTTATTTCTGATCTATACGTATTAGAACAGAAAGTAGGCACAAACTATACATTGTCAAGCCTCTTAATCATAAATGTAGGCTCTCTACCTTCTCCCTGATTGGCCAGCGCTGAGAAACTGGCCAGCATTTCCCATTTGGTTGAGAGGCGGGCCTTAGGTGGTGTGCCTCCCAATTTGTGAAGAGAACAATGATGTGGCTGAGGATCTTCTTCCAGCTGGACAGGGAGGCCCTGGGGTTTCCAATGAGCCATGGAGGTGGTCCTGAGGGAAGGAGAGGTCTCCAGGGACTGTGTCAACTCCTGGGTGTGTAGCAATGGAATGAAGACAAAGTCTGAAAAGATGATTGATAGGATTATGTATATACCAGGTCCTGGTTGAAAAGACAATGAGCACTGGATCTCCAGATGAAGAAACGAGTCCCAGAAATGTCTATTGGCGAAGGGAGTGCAATCAAAGTTTCTTCCTAGACTTTTGTCCCATGGATAGCTGAGATCACCAAAAGGGATGTTTCCGGGGGCAGGCGGATGGCCTGCTGGCATGTAGAAAGATTATTTGTTCCACAGATTAAGTCCTATCTCTGATTCCCATACAGGGTGTGGAAAGAGTATCTGGAATTGCTCAAGAGGTTATTGCAGTTAATAAGTTCATGTGGGTTTTGCCTTCAATTTCATATAGCTCAGTAATAACAAAAATTAAAATATAAAAGATAGTTCATGTGGTGTTTTAATATAGGATCTTAAAGGATTTCTAGGTAGAAATGGGGTGAAAGTAGAAGGGCCTTGCTGGGGCTGCATGCAGGGCTTGAAAGGTTATTTGCCTTATTTGTTTTAATTCATTCCTCTGTGCTCATTCGCATAAGGAAAAAAAGAAAGATGAAAAGAAATATAGAAAGATACTTTGTATGGTAAAGGGTCTGGAAATGGAGGTATATGATACATATTAGCAGTTTAGGTTGTAACTTGGTCGGGAGAGAGTGGGGCCATGAGGCGATCTCCAGGGGATCTCCAGTGGAGCTTTGGAGCTTCGTTGCTGCGGACTGGCTCAGTCTGAACAGCTAAGTTGAGGAACGTGTGTGGGGGGAGTTGGGGGCTATGGAGTCAATCAATTAAGACTTTATTATGGTCCATGACCAGCACAGTCTATGGAGTCAGGGTTGCTACTGGTCCTGGGAGGCTCAGGGGAGGCTGCAGGGACTGTGGCCATTGTCATTCATTTGGCCTTTAATCCTTGGGAAACAATGTCTTCTGTGGGAGAAGAACAATGTCTTTCTTTTATTAGGGGTGAGGGTGGTCATGTTCAATAACCAATTTTGCATATGGGCAAAGCAGTTATTCATCATGCACTACCCAGTATTTGGGCTGTTCAGTCCTGAAGCAAAGGTCAGAGGACAGAAGCCTGAGCATTCTTTGCATGGCATGGAAATTTCTGCAGAATGGTGTTTTGAAGAAAAACTAATATTCAATTTCCGTCTCACAATACAAAATATGTTTGCATGTATGCTGCAGCCATAATTCACTGGAGCATCATGTTACACACCTCAGAATTTGGGAAGAGGATTTTTTGAAAAATATCAAGTTTTGAGGGTCTGGCTTCAATCTGAAACTCCCAACAGGGGATTCATGTGAAGCAGAAAGTGGGACATACATAACCCATTGGTAAATTAAGGTAGCATTTCACCATTTGATACTTTTTAACATTTTTGTCTGTGTTTCAGGGCATTTGCGGGATCTAAAGGTAAAGATTTCTACTGACTTTAAGTCTAGTCATGTCCAACTCTGGGGGGTGGTACTCATCTCCATTTCTAAGCTGAAGAGCCGGCGTTGTCTGTAGACACCTCCAAGGTCATGTGGCTAGCATGACTGCATGGAGTGCCATTACCTTCCCGCCAAGGTGGTACCTATTGATCTCACATTTGCAGGTTTTTGAACTGCTAGCTTGGCAGAATCTAGGGCTAACAGCAGGAGCTCACCCTGCTCCCCGGATCTGAACCGCCAACCTTTCAGTCAGCAAGATCTGCAGCTCAGTAGTTTAACCCGCTGTGCCACCAGGGGTCCTTGGACCCTAGATACGGCATCAAGATGCTGGAAAAATGGTTTGTCATAATTCACAAAAAACAAAAACAAAACCAGGAGAGCAAACTCTGAGGTACTGCTGTTAAGATCCTTGAGGGAAGAAAGCAGGAGAGGGCAAGGCCCTTGCTGCTAAAATTCATGAGGCTTAAAAATGTGTTGACAAGTCTCTTGAAGTTTAAAAAATATAGGGGTAAATAGGAGGTATCACGAACCCTTTCATCAGTATTAGGATCTGAGCAGGATCTGGTACAGTTCAGCTAGAAAACAAGCAACTCCCTGAGAGCACCTCCAGAGCTATTTTATTTTAAAGTTCAACAAGAGGTTTCTTCATCCCAAAGTATTTATTGGAGACAACAGCACTATCATTCCTACTTCCCAGCTCAGTTTAAATAAGCCCAGTATTTTTCTGAAATAAAACATACCTTCACTTAGCATTCTGTTTGTATTATCCTTGAACAAGCTAAAATTCCACCCAGCAGTAAAACATAGGTACTGTTTCCAGAATATTTCAAGAGTCTGGATGAAAACCTGAAAACATGGAGATAAAATCAAAAGAAGAACGGGAAAGTCTTGCTATTTCCGTTTTTCCCCCTTTCCAAATGAGCCCTAAGGCACTACAACTGTATGCAGACATGTGCAACACTAAATACATTCATGCTGCTTTTTGAATTACTGGGATTTAGAAGTCCTCATTCATTTAATGTAGTGGCATAATGGATTAATAACCATTGTGCTGGCTGAACTGCTGACCTGAAGGTCAGCAGTTTTGAATCCATAAGATGGGTGAGCTCCCATCTGTCACCCCCAGCTGACAGGAGTCCCTGGTGGCACACTGGATTAAATCCTTGTGCCGGCAGGACTAATGACTGATAGGTTGAAGGTTCGAATATGGGGAGAGTGCAGATGAGCTCCCTCTGTCAGCTCCAGCTCACCATGTGGTAACATGAGAGAAGCCTCCCACAAGGATGGTAAAACATCAAAACATCCAGGTGTCTCCTGAGCAGCATCCTTGCAAACAGTCAATTCATTCACACAAGAAAAGACTTGCAGTTTCTCAAGTTGCTTCTGATACGATTAAAACAAATTCACTTAATGAATTCATCTAATACAAATTCACTTCATGTGTTGAATAAAAATAGAAATCCAGAAACCTAACAGTAGATTACACCAGTCTTCTCCCCTCTTTGTTGCAAAAAGATGTGAAATAAGTGTCTATTTGTAAACCAGTGTAATATATGAGAGCCCTGACTATTAATGGTACCTCTGGAAATATTATCTTGCTGCATTGCCAGCAGGGATTCCCACAGCCAGATAAATGCTCAGGGACAAACATTTCTTTGTACAATCATGTCTTTCTTCATTAATGCTTATGCCCATTTATTTTGCTATAGTAAAAATATGTTCAAACATTTCTCAAAGGTTTTTAAATATTTCTACAATCTCTTTTTAATGTCCACGTTAATGCCGCTGTAATGGTCTGCCAGCTTTGTAGTGAGTGGAGCCCACAGTGGCTGTTTTTAGTCGGGCAACATACCAGTTGATAAGACTTAAAAGGTGGAGGGAGAATATCAATGAAATTAGATTTTGACAGTACTTTGCATGTATTTATTAGTGCCTGGACCAGTAGAAGGAAAACGTTTTTCATGCTATAAATTTTATTAAAAACAACCATCTATACATTTGTATTAAATAAATTAACAAGCAATTAATATTCACACACAAATACAGAATGTTCTCTTACAAAATTGAGGGGTAATTTCAGTAACGGTATCTTTTAAATGCTTTTAACTGATGCAGAAGAGAAATTGCTTAGTGGTTTTCAGCATCTTCTGCGTTTTGCATGGGCCCTCAAAATAGTTAGAAAAAGTTGCACACATATTGAACTAATACTTGCATTGTAAACATGCACCCAGATTCTGTGGTGTGTGCTTGTCTTTTGCTTTGACTCAATGGATGTACACATACACAAGTGTTGCTTTGGGATTCCATACGAATTTGTGTACAGTGGAAATACTAAACATACGTGGTGACGGGGGTGGACAATATATTGGAAATGCTAGGATTAATACTGTTTTGATCATGGCAAGAATGACTCAGTATGAAAAGGTAAGTGTTTATACACTAGAAAGGGTTCATAAAGTTGGCCGATCAAAATCAACTGTGTTACAGACGAGAATGACTTGTCTGCCTTCTCAGACGCTCGAAAGACAAAACTCCTCAAGGCTGTTCTCTTCTCTGACTTCCAGTTCATGCTGTTCCAGCTGCTGGTACTCAAAAGTAACACGGTTGATATGTTTACCACTGGAGACCATTCGCAGCACTGTGTTGTCACAGCCAACCTTCATTTGAGCTAGTGAAAAAGAAAGATCAACAACGTGTTATGCTTGGAACTGTACCACGTTGATATAAATCATTTGGAAATAACTAATTATAGACTGGAAAGAACTCTAAGGGACCAGTCAACTTCTTTACCATCCATATATACATTCTCAAAATACAGGCTGTATATGATCTCTTTATAACTCAGTGCTCTAATCCTGAACAGCTGTTGTTTGTGAAAGCACAGGAAGTGGACTGAATACCATACACGTAGGTTATAAATGCATGTGGATCCATATTTGTGATGCAAGGAGCAACTAGATATGAGGAACCTTTTAAATGCTATATTTAACCAGCCATATTATACTGGATTGGACTATTTCTTCAGGACGGGCAGTGCCCTGTGGCATATTCATCATGGTTAGAAACTTATTTATTTGCTGCATTTATAATTTTTTGTTTAATTTATATACCTCCTTTCTCCTATTTGGGCACTATGACCTTCAGAAGAGAAATAGAAAGATATGGAATTGATGTGCACCGATGAACTGGAACGGACGGACTACGTTTAATGGACCATGTGATTAACTCTTAATGTATTGTTTTATATGTTTTAAAACTGTTTTAATGTATTTTATAACTGTTATTATGTATTGGTAATTGTACATATCTTATGGCTTCTTACAGTTGCCTACTTGTAAGCCACCTTGAGTCCCCTCTGGGGCAGAGAAAGGTGGGGTAGAAATGCCATAAATAAATAAATATCCCGCCCTTCTCACCCCAAAGGGGACTCAGGGTGGCTCACAAAAAAGGCACAGTTTGATGCCATATATACATACATAGGATAAAACAAACAATATGCATTAAAATCAATAATTAAAACATCATAATCTTAAAACCAGTTATTAAAAACCACCCAGTCCAAAGGTGTATTCCAGGAGCCATTCCAATCATAAATTGCACTATCCCATAGTTATTGCATTGCAGATTACTGTCCAAAAGCTTGGTCCCATGTCCCTGTCTTCACTTTCTTTCTGAAGGACAGGAGGGAGGGAGCTGATTTAATTTCACTGGGGAGAGAGTTCCATAGCCAAGGGGCCACCACTGAGAAGGCCCTGTCTCTCGTCTCCAACAGTTGCACCTCCGAAGAAAGTGGGATCGAGAGCAGGGCTTCCCCAGAAGATTCCCAATGATTGCCTCACAATGGGATTAAATGCTTTATGTATTCTAAAAGCATTGTCCTCATTTTAAATGGGCTTCCCGCATAATCATGTACTCTGTTTGATTGGCTACTTAGGCAATCCTGCAGTTCATTATTTCCTCCCAAACTGATTTGAATAATCCAGAAAAACATTGTTCTCACTTCAAATGATCTAATTTGACCTCTGGTCTGTCCGTAAATAAAATCTGATTGACTCCATGGTATCAGGATGCCATAACTCTAGGATGTAAAAAAGAGGGAAGAACGTGTTGCGCCTCTACCCTCACATAATCTGTGAGATTACGCTTCTATACAAACCAAAAGCTTGCATCAGTGACCCAGATACATTATATGTGTATTTGTACAGAACTCACATTTTTGGCTTCCCTTTCATAAAGTTGCTTTTTCAGGAGCATTTAACAATACTGTGATGTACAATGGCACATACCCAAATTTTGAAGTTGATCTTCTGAGTAAGTTTATTTTTTGTTTAATTTATATGCCTCCTTTAACCTATTTAGGCACTGTGCCCTTCAGAATATCACATTCACTCAATAATATGATCATACAGTGGCATTGCAGATGCTTGCGTGAAATCTTCCAACATAATTGCATGACTGAATTTCCCTTTTTGTGTGAATCATGACTAATTCTAGGTAATGATCAAGGAGCTTAGAAGTAACAAACAGGACTTGCAATTAACATGGAAAAATAATGTGTTGCGTTAATTCATTGAGCTTTTCAAATAGCAAAGGGAAAATCCTTGTCATTTTGCTTTTGACGCAATGAAGCCCATGACAACAGTTCATTTTGACTCATTGTTTTGTTTTTCTTCCACCATTTTCTCTAATTAGTTGTCAGAGATTGGTGATAAGTTGCTATTTAAAACATAGTAAGGCTTTGCAATAAAATTGGCTGGTTTTTAACTCTTGAAAGGTTTGCATAGAATAGAAGCTGCGGTGTGCAGCCTGCCTATGGCTTATTTTAAAAGTAACAGTTAAAATAGCGATTAAGGCAATAAATCAAACACTTCACAACAATAACAATAGAACTGATAATAATTAATTTTGATGATCACTAAAAATTAACAAAAAGAAAGCAAAGTTTCAAGCTGTAGTTAACAAATAAATGGTTAGCTGTAATTAGTTCTTAACCCAATTATTAATATGATGCAGTCTGAAACTGCATTATATGGTCAGCGTAAACTCATATAATGCAGTTCAATGCAGTTACACTGCATGATAGGAGTCTACACTGACCATATAATGCAGATTCAAACTTCTGCATTGTATGGCTTTGTAGATGGGGCCAAAGTCAAAGGAGCATTTTTATACTCAAAGCATACTGGACTTACTAAAGTAATTAACACTGTTTATTTACACCTAAGAAATGGGAAAGCACAGTTATTTTTATAATGGCAACCACAATGACAACCACTTTTTTCACCTATAAGTAGTCACTTTTTAAATTTACATGTCTTTTTTAAAAAAATTCTCAACGCACTTTGTACATGTCTAAGTAACCAAAAAACAAACTTCATGTTTATTGCATTGATGCCAAATCAGTACTTTGGAATTAAGACTAAACCAGGACCCACCAAAGGTTATCCATTATGCTTTTCAGTTTCAGGCCTAAGACTTCATTCATAAAATGTCAAGAACACCTCTGGCATATTGTTACTCCCTCCTCTCTGAGAAACTACACCCAAACTTTTTCCTCCGTCCAGTGCTTTCCAGATATTTTGGATGTCAACTCCCATGGTACCTGGGACTGATAGGAAACATGGTGAAAATGTTCTGGAGGCTATCAGATTGGAGAAGACAACTGTACAGAATGGACCCAACAGACAACCGTACCAGCACAGCACCACAAAGCATAACATTATGCCAGTGAGATGGGCAAGTAACAACAAATCTATTTAGAACTTAACAGATTTTCATTCTCTGAAGACATTTGCACAAGAGACATGAAAAAAGGACTCACCTGGGCCATGAAAGGAGTGACACAGATCTGCTAAAGGGAACATCTTAGAAGGGTCCAACCCATTTCCTCCCAACAGCTCCACAAAATCTCCAACTCCACCACAGCCTGAGGAGGGCTTCTATTAAAAAGAGAGAGAGAAAGGCAGAATAAAGTGCAAGAGCATAGAACGAAGTGAAAGTTTTTATATAAGATTTTTTAGTAAATGGGATTCATCTAAAGAATTCGGCTGCTTTTAAATTTGATTGAGATTGTCATTTGAAATTAAGATCAGAAATAAATACTGGATGATTAACAACAAAACACCCAAACAAACCTCACTAAAAGTGGGGGAATAGATGCTGTTGGATTCATGCAGTCTAGACAGATATCACTATCATGATGTGGCCATTATTACAAAGATTAATGATAGCAACTTTTACTTGGAGAAGATTTCATATCAGTTCAGTATTATTGGTGAATCACTCCATCTATATAAATAAACATGTAACAAAACTCAAAAACCACTGGGTGAATTGACACAGACTGGGCCACAGCAATGTGTGGTAGGAGATAGCTAGTAACAACTAAAGGACTTAATAGGTAAAAGTCCCTTTAAAGCCCATCAAAGACGCCTTCCACCCAATATTAACCAAGTGGGCATCCACTCACACAATAGGTTTTCACTATTCTTCCATGCATCTCTACATTTGTTCTAGATTGAGGTCATCAAAAGCATATTCTGGCAGTAGTGTTAATTCTGTCAATTGATGTATATGTTTGGATTTTGGATCTGTATATTTTGGCTCTGCTTAGAACTGCAGTTACCAACCTTTGGTCCTCCAGATGTTTTGGACTTCAGCTCCCACAATTCCTAACTGCTGGTTATATGGCTGGTATTTCTGGGAGTCAGAGTTCAAAGCAACTGGAGGATCAAAACCACAGGATTAGCAGATTAGGGTCATAAATTTTCTGCAGTGATGATGTTAGAACATTTCCAAGCATACTAAAGGTTTTTACCTTGAGTTGAAGGGTCCTCGGATGTTTTGGCCCACAACTTCCAGAAATCCCAGCCAGTTTACCACCTGTTAGGATTTTTGGGAGTTGAAGGCCAAAACATCTGAGGACCCTTCAACCCTTCACAGGTTGAGAACCACTTGTGTAGATCATGAATAAGAAAACATATAGCTATACTAAAAACACATCAAAGTGTCTTCATTTCTTTGAAGAAGCAACTTACCTTTAATTGGAGGCCATTCAAATGTCCCAGCATAAGATCAGATATTTTTATCATCACTGGGTAGATGATGGAAAAACTGCAGTTTCTGTGTTGATGAGGAATGACCATGGTAAACCTTCCAACAGGAGTCTGAGAGATGACATTGCAAGCTTTAGTACAGGGGAAAGATACAGAATTACTTAGTCACAATCTATTGAGTGAAACACAATGCAAACTTTATCTGATGTCTCAAATAAATAAATAAACTTTATTTATATCCTACCCTATTTCCCCGTGAGGACCCAGGGCAATTTCCAACAAACAAAGGCAAACATTCAGTGCCAGGATCAGAATGGTGATTGTGTGAGCATCTGTCTTTTGTCTCTACAAAACATATCCCAAAGGCAAATCTGAAGGATGTCAGTTTAGATTAGGACTACTGTATGGTGCTTGCCAAGAGAGGATTAATTGCATGCTCTCTCTGAACAGTTTTTGTAATATAACCCATACGGACCCAAATGTTTTTTGGGAAATGTAAAGATACATCTTGATATGTTTTCAAAATTCGAGTCTTCCAAGTGTTTTGGATTTCAGCTCCTAAAATCAGTGATCATGGGTCAAAGCAGATAAAGTTTATGGGACATGGAGTTTGAGAATCACGGGCATGATTATTTTGTATCAGTTTTAACAGTCATTGTTTCCTCACAATGCTGAGAACTGTGGTTCATGGTGGATATTGAAACTACCTATTGCATAGTCATTTTTTATTATCATGGTGGTTTGGATTTCAAATGTTAAAGAGGCTCTGGCTCATTTAGCACCTGGATGAATGCATGATATTTATTTATTTATTTATTTATTTTGCATATTTGTATCCCATCCTTCTCACCCCTGGAGGGGGACTCAGGGTGGCTTCACAGCAAGCATTCATTCAATGCCAACAACAGTAATAAAGGATAAAAGTAATTAAAACAATTTGTTAATGCTTTAAAATTACTAAAACATTGTTGAAATCATGCAGGTTTGAACTTATAGTGCAGGTCAGTCCATTGTCATTCACACAAATTGGGTCTCATTCTAAATTGCTGCGTCTACTGTTCAAATGCTTGGTCCCATAACCAGGTTTTGAGTTTCATTCTAAAGGACAAGAAGGAGAGGCCTATCTAATGTCACTGGGTAGTGAGTTCCACAGGCAAGGGGTCACCACTGAGAAGTCCCTGTCTCACATCTCCACCAGCAGGGCCTCTCCCATCAATCTCAGACTTTGTAATGATCCATAGTAGGAGATATATTCAAGACAGGTAAGCTAGGCCAGAACTGTTCAGGGCTTTATAGGCTAAAGCCTTATACTTTTAAATACTTTTTTGTTACTGCTGTTGTAAACATGTGAACCATGTGGTAGTGCAGTGGGTTAAACTGCTAGATGCAGGAAATCTGCTGACTGGAGGGTTGGCAGTTCAAAGCCGCAAGTCAGGATGAGTTCCCCCTGTCAGCTCTAGCTTCTGCCAACCTAGCAGTTCTAAAGCATGTAATGGAAGTAGATCAATAGGTACTGCCTCGGCAGGAAGCTAAAAGGACGCCCAATGCAGATATGCCAGCAACATGATAATAGATGTCTATGGACAATGGGCTCCTTGTCATGGAAAAATGAAACAAGAGCACTTCCCCATGGCCAAAGTTGAGCATCACCTCCAGATACTGAAGATGGAAGGAGGAGGCCTTTACCTTTGTCTGTGTATTGTATATTATTGTTGTTCACTGTGTAAAAGGCATTGAATGTTTGCCTTATATGTGTATACTGTAATCTGCTCTGAGTCCCTCCGGGAAGATAAAGCAGGATATAAATAAAGTGTATTATTATTATCTCCTGAACCAAGGCTTTTCTGTAGTGGTGCCCCTATCATGGAATACTCTCCTCAGAGTACTACAGCTAGGGAACGATAGTTCAATGATGAGTCAAACCTTTCCTATTTACTCCTGGAATATAGAAACATGTTTTAGCCTACTCTTCACTTTCTTGTTGTTGCAGTCCTCTTATTTCTGTTTAATCCTTGCCATTGTTTTATATAATTTGTGTCTAATACTAGACTATCATGCTATGCATGAAACATATTCAAAAATATAAATAAGTAAAACTGAACAAATTAAATATTTGAATCCTGTCTAGTTAAGACAGGATTTTAAGAATCAAAGTAGAAGATTTTTTAAAATACATACGTGTCTGAATAAATGTGTCACTTTTTACAAGCAGCACAAAAACTGGCATGAACTGAAATATTACTACTGGAAATGGTGCATTTATCTGAATTTATACCACATCATTCAAGGTGATTTTTGAAGAAGAGGAAGCATACTTCAAGATGACATCTGCAATACTATGACTGGCTGCAATTGCAGGATAAGAGCCCTGCACTGGCAGGATATCATAATACATGTTCCATCCAATGCATTTTGTTTACTGGCACAACAATTATTTAAGTCTGGGCTATAAGAGGCTTTACCACAACATTGTTTATGTATATCCCTTCCTATTGCCTGACTCCAACATCCGCATTCCCCCACTTCCCTTTCGACACAGATGGAAATGTGAAACAAAACTTACGGAAAAGATTGGGCTTTTTCTTTACTGTTAGTGCAAATCCGTTTCCTGGATCATGAATCCTGAAGAAGATCATGGCTACATTCTGTGATGATCTGATAGCACTTTTGATTTGACCAACCTCACAAAAATCTACGTATCTTTCCGAAGTGGGAAGAGGATGGTCCAAGGAGCTAGGAAACTTCTCACCTTTCAGTATCCAACCATCAAACACCTAGAGGAATACACAAATAGAGTGTTTTGATTTTCTCCAAGTTGCTTTTGTCTGTCCCCACTCACCCAAACCTGGAAATAGCAAGTAGCTAGAATATGGAGGTTTTATATACAACATTGATTTAGATTGTCAACACTTCTGAGACCTTTTTGCATTTTAAAACTATTGCATTCAACTTTAACTGGCGTGGAATCCTGAGGTTTGTGAGAGAAGCAAAACATTTACCATTCTCAGACAGAAAACTTCTCTGGTGCCAAACTACAAACTCCAGTATTTCATAAGTATGTATGAAAAGGTGCTATGTGTCTATTTCTTTGTGGAGTCTTCAGAAAAACAAAATTCTAGGTTTGGGAGACATTCATGAGGGTTAAAGGCCATTGCTGATATTCAAAGACAATTTCTAAAAAGTTTGTGTGTGTCAGGAGTGACTTGAGAAACTGCAAGTCACTTCTGGTGTGAGAGAAATGGCCATTTGCAAGGACATTGCCCAGGGGATGCCTGGATGTTTTACTATCCTGTGGGAGGCTTCTCTCATATCATGTATGGGAAGCTGGAGCTGACAGATGGAAATTCACCCCATTCCCTGGATTCAAACTGCCAACCTTTTGGTCAGCAGTCCTGCCAACACAAGGGTTTAACCCACTGTGCCACTGGGGGCTCCTACTGAAAAGTTAATACTGGACTATACTTATCAACATATATAACACCAGTTAATGAGGGTAAGGGTGGTAATTTTTTTTGTTGCAGAACAGTTCGTTGTTTTGTTTTGTTTTGTTCATACAACTGCTCCTCACCTACCCAGTTCTTACTACTAATCAATAATTTAATCCAATCAATTCCATGTAAGACATGATATTAACATCAACAGTAAAGTCAGCACTTCAAACAGCAGAAGTTAATTATTTTGACATTCTCTGTAGTTTTCTACTTCAAATGTTTTAATACTTCAAATGTCCTTAATTAGAGGAAACAAATTTCTAAAGCCTGACATTTAAACCTGAAGCAATCGAAGTGATCTATATGGGGTGCCAATTGAGTGACATTTGTGTGACTGTGTAGCAAGAGGCTGGTTTTCAGCTGTTTCCTAAGTGTCTCACTTTGAAGTTTGTGCCAGATACAAAGAAACAGCTGCTGGCTCCTAGTTCTCCCCTCCCCAAACACTTTCTGGGGAAAAAAGTGTGTTACTCTCAATGGCCCTGCTCCAAAAATTCTTGCAGTCAGCCATAAATTATGTAGATACTACAATATTCTCTGAACCATTTCCCACTCTGATTCCTCTTTGCCTTTAAAATGTATAGAGAAATCTAAAAGTTTTCTAAATCCCAGCTTTAAGTACAAGGAAATTTAAAGGTACACCAGATTTGTAGCTAGGTTAGTTTATTACATTAACAAACAAGCAGTCTTGTGGCACCTTAAAGACTATTAATGTATTATAGCATACATTTGTGTGAATTTAAATCCAATGCATACATTTATCAGTAATCCCACAGTCTGATTTGCGACTACTTGAAATCTGCTTTCTTTAATTTTATTGCTGAGCAAGCTTTGATGTACAGAGATTTCTGTACTCAGGACAGCCATGATATGACAGTGACCGTGTCATATCAGTGATCAATCAGAATTTTACACTACATTTGGAAGATCCAGGTTTAAATTCCCATTCATTCAAAAAGCTGATATATTGTGTTGTCGAGGGCTTTCATGGCTGGAATCACTAGGTTGCTCTGAGTTTTCCAGGCTGTAGAGCCATGTTCCAGAAGTTGTGAGGTCTATTGGAAACTAGGCAATTGAGGTTTATAAATCTGTGGAAAGTTCAGGGCGGGAGAAAGAACTCTTGTCTGTTGGAGGCAAGTGTGAATGTTGCAATGTCTCCCACCCTGGACCTTCCACAGATAAATAAACCTCCCTTGCTTAGTTTTCAATATACTTCACAACCTCTGGGGATGCCTGCCATAGATGTGGGTGAAACCTCAGGAGAGAATGCTTCTGGAACATGGCCATACAGCCTGGAAAACTCACAGCAATCCAGCTGATATATTCATTGAGCTTGAGCCAATCACCCTTCCACTCAGCTTAACTGATCTCACAGAACTGCTGTGAGGATAAAATAGTATATGTAAACCACCTGAGATTCTACAAAGAAAGAAGGAATGTAACATTCATCGTTCTTTACTTGTATTACATTAAAATTTAATTATTTACATTTAATAAAATTAATATTTACTTGGAGTAAAATTCCCTGAATCCCCCAAGCCATATGCACAGTGACCATGTCATTTTATGAATTTTCCTTTTTCCCCCAGGTCTGGTTTCATGGGTGTTTCTATTTGCAACCTTCATGATGAATCACATCTTTGGTAGAACCATCTGTCATTATTTTGAGCCCTCTTTGTGCCATCATGATCCTAAGGCACACAACTGACACCATGGTCGACTACTGCTCATGCCTTTTGGAAAGCCCTTCCTGAACAAAAAAGTTATTGCAAACCTTCAGAAAGTCTCCTGCTTGACAGTCAATGTTGATGAAATCGAAGTCTAGTGTGATTAACTCTTGTGGGTCCCCTATGAAGAACGTAGCACAGTGCAGCTGGGGCTGGTCAGCAGTGAAGGTGAACTGCCCTTCTATACTCAGCATGTCAATGCAACCTGCAGAAGAGAATGGAAGACCTCAAAGTGATGGCTGAGTTTCACTTCACATTTTGTACTTAAGCACAAGGTAACACAGTATAGCATATACAAGTCATTCATGAAGTGTGAAAGCATATATGTATTTTTAAGGAACTTTCTATTCCCCCAGTGCCTATAAATTGGACCTGGCAGTCCTCACTCACCCAAAAATAGATCTCAGTCATTTTAAAGCAACACACTTTCCAACTTATCTCAATCTTAAGGCTAATCCATCACAGGATCTTTGAGGGCTGTGAGAGTGCCCAAAGTCACCAAGGAGATTCCACATCCAAGCAGGAAAATGAATCCTAGTCTCCAAAGTCATAGTCAAATGCTCATATCACTTACTCTCAACACTTTAATACATGACTGCAGCCAATCCTTGAGTTACAAACATCTGATTTACAAACTACTCATAGTTAAGACATGTGTGTGGTGTGTATCCTTAATGAAAGCCAAACATTTGTTACTTCATGCAAAAGATAAGTCAGTAACAGGTGAATAACAATTTATTTCCCATGCCAACATGGTTGGGAATCTGATCTTTCTTTTAATCTGAACTTTAAAGAAACTGTCTAAGCCCCTTCCACACAGCTGAATAAAATCCCACATTTTCAGCTTTGAACTGGAATATATGGCAGTGTGGACTCAGATAATCCAGTTAAAAAGCAGATATTGTGGATTTTCTGCCTTGATATTCTGGGTTATATGGCTGTGTGGAAGGGCCCTATGACACTATACCACAGAAAAGTTCATCACCCTGAACAGTTCCTTTAAAATTCAAACTAAAACAAGACTAAAGCACACTACTCCATTGTCATGGGAGCCACACCCCCCCCCCCCATTTCACCCTAATTCCATGCATTAAGGCTAGTTAGACTTGCACTGGAATTTTATTTCAACACTGGGGTGGCCTGGTAAAGAGTTTTTGATTATTTTTAGCTATAGCTCTTAGAATTGTCCGGTTGGCATGGGTGAACTGTAGGCCCAAATATAACATTTCCAAGATATGAGTCTCAGTGACCCAAAAGTGTTTTAATGGCATCCATGTAAATGGGTGGTACAATGGGTTAAACCCTTGTGCTGGCTGAACTGCTGACCTGAAGGTCGGCAGTTCAAATCTGGGGAACAAGGTGAGCTCCCATCTCTTAGATCCAACTTCCCATTCAGGGATATGAGAGAAGCCTCCCACAGAATGGTAACAAATCCAGGTGTCCCCTGGGCAACATCCTTGCAGATGGCCAATTATCTCATATCAGAAGCAACTTGCAGTTTCTCAAGCCACTTCTGATTTGAAAAAAAAATCAATGTAAATTAGACTGGAAGCATAGTGGCTCATTTGACACTGCAGCTTTCACCATTTTCTGTGCTCCCCATATTGACTGCCAGAGGCAACCACTTGACTCTGCTTTAAGTTCCCATTCAATCTGCCCTGTAAGGGAGAATATGTAAGAATGTGAAATCTGGCCCTTGATTGTCCATATATTAATGTCAACTTTAACATGAGAATTAGCATCTCAACAGGTGACAATTTAAATTTAAATTACAGCTATGTACAGTGCTTTGGAGAGAATTTATGGTAGCAAGTGATGTGAAAGACTCTGTTTGAAAACCCAGAAACATGCTGCCCATCAGAGTGGACAACAGATGAACAGGTAGTTTATGTCTTCTTCAGGTCTGCCAAAACTAACCACAATTCTGTACCAAAATGCTGTCAGAAAAACAGCACAATGGCAGATCTTCCTATTTTAGCTTTCAGTACATCACTTCTTCCTTCTTTTTATTCAGGAAAGTGCACTCATTTTTCTAAGGTGTCAATCACACTATCCTTCCCATGAAATAATGATTTATAGTTGACCTTCCCAAGTGATCCATGGTTTCCAGGGCTTACATTTCAACCTGGGATTGCCATGAGCATGCGCTGGAGTTCCTGTCTCTGCAAAAGTTCAGCACTGATGATTGGCAGCTAGTGCCTATGCTGGGTGGGTAGGATGAATGAGAGTTGCAGTGTGGCATCCTGCAACACGTGGGGAGCTATACATCACCATTTTTAAAGCAATCTTACTGGCATGGCATACTTAACAATTCCCATGTCCTTCTGAAAATATTGAAAGCACTGAGCTCTGAGTGTCTCTGTGCCTTCAAGCTAAACTTATGGTAACCACGTTAATTTTATAGGGTTTTTTTTAAAAGGTGAGGAATGTTCAAAAGTGGCTTTGCTGTTTCCTTCCTCCAATACAGCCAACAGGAACTGGTATCCCTTGGCATTCAAGTACTGACTCTGTGTGGCTTCCAAAATCAAACATGATGTGGTGCCTTTTGGGTCTTGAGGTAGACTGTGCTGGGTTTTTTTTCTTTTTGCAAACATAAAGGGAAGTTGAGGAAGAGAAGGAAGAGAACTGTTGAAATTGGAATCTGTTGCACGCTAGACCCCTTCCTCTCTCTCTTTACACACAATGAGGGATGCTGCATGCTGACTATCCTTGTTGGTAACAGGAATGCAAGATAATGCTACCTGGAAGAAGAGAATAAGGCAGATTGGCAGCTAATTAGAAGAGGGAGTTTGACACTCTGTTCCTATCAATTTCTTCCCTTCTCCGTTCTGCAGCTATAAAAGAGGATAGCTATGAAATTGTCTTTTCAAGTAAGCTATAATGGTGCATTGGGTTGAGTGTGACTACAACTCCTTAGATTAGAGTTCAAAATCCACCCCCAGACATGGACACCCATGGATGGATGATCTGGGGCAAGAATTTCTCAGGTTTAGAGCAGTGATTCCCAACTTTTTTTAAACCAGGAACCATTCTCTAACATTAGTACCGAAAGGGTTACAAATCAGTTTTTGGTCAACGTTAAATTTGGTTTGGTTATTTGAGGTGCTGATTCAGAAAATTGCATTGGATAGACTACACCAGCTCTAGTTTCTGATACAGAACATAAGCCATCCAGTAGTCGCCATCTGCTCACCCACAGAAAACCATATTTATTTGTTTGTTGGTTTGTTTATTTAGGGTATTTGTATCCCGTCCTATCGCAACCTCCTTAGAGGGACTCAGGCCAGCTACCAATCAACACAGCACAGTACCAACAACATAGTAAAACAAGCATAAATATACATATTATAATAAAACAATATAAAAACATTAAAACAGTTTGCCGATTTAAGTCTTCATCCTAAAAGCAGTCCATCATAGTCAAATAAAACTGTATCTTTGCCAGCAGGTCAGTCTAATCCATGAACGCTTGATACCACAACCAGGATTTCATTTTTTTTCCAGAAGATCAGGAGTTATGGAGCAGATCTGATCTCATTTGGGAGGGAATTCCATAGCTGAGGGGCCACCACGGAGAAGACCCTGTCTCTCATACCTGCCAAATGTGATTGCAATGGTGGAGGGACTGAGAGCAGAGCCTCACCAGATGATATTAGGGTCCTAGGTGGTTTGTAGAGGGAGATATGTTCAAACAGGTAAACTGGGCCAGAACCATTAAGGGTTTTGAATTGTGCTCGGAAGCTAATTGGCAGCCAGTGGAGCTGGCGTAGTAAGGGCAATGTACGCTCTTGATATCCCGCTTCCGTAAGCAACCTGGCTGCTGAGCGTTGGACTAGCTGAAGCTTCTGAACAGTCTTTAGCAGCAACCCCATGTAGAGTGTGTTGCAGTAATCTATTCAGGATGTAACCAGAGCATGGACCACCATGGCTAAGTCCGACCTCCTAAGATATGGTTGCAGTTGATGCACAAGTTTTAATTGTGCAAAAGCTTCCCTGGCCACCGCTGAGACCTGGGGTTCCAGGCTCAGCAATGAGTCCAGGATCTCTCCCAAACTGCGAACATGCTCCTTCAGAGGGAGTGTAACCCCATCAAGCACAGTCTGTAATCCTATTTAATTATCTAGAATTGATGTGGTAGTAGTAATCTTTTGTGGCTAGTAAGCCTCTCCCCTCCCAACATCCCCTTTGCCTTGGCACTATAAGAGGGTTTTGGTTTCGAGGCAACAGTGTAGTAATGGTGAGGCGGCGGATCATATTTTTGTTCTTGCAGACCATTGGTGGTCCACGGACCACAGGCCAGGAACCACTGGTTTAGATGAAGGCAAAGGCAAACCTACTCTGAGCAAATCTTGCCCCGTCATATTAGAGTTGTCATATGTCAGAATAGTGCTGAAGGCACACAACTACAACAAACCCTTCAAGACAAACAAACCCCCATTCTATTGTTTTAGAAATGCATTCTGTACATGGCCTTTCACCTGCATTCCTAAATACTCAAAAGGAGGCTCCCAAATGGCTATTGTTCTCCCACTCTTTCTCCCTCTTTTACACTTTAGAGATGAACTTGGTAGGATCAACCACTTCTTTTGGTATCCCAGGTTAAGTGATTTGGGTGTGTGTGTGTGGGGTGGGGGAGATAAATGGTTATCTGAAGACTTTTCAGGCTTTCTGATGGTATTGGGTGGACATTTTCCACCTCATGTGACCCCTACTCTACTTGTGAGCAGTCTAAATGTCCTAAATGCAGCAGATCCTGGTTGATCTTGGAAGCATAAGCGAGAGATCTTTAGTACTTAGATGGGAGATCATCACAAATACTGTAAGCTCTGTTTCAGAAGGTGTTGCTTAAGAAAACTTCATGGGTCCCATAAGTTGACAGGTGAAGTGAAACAGATAAGCTAGGGCTAATTCAGTGTTTCCCTCACTGCAGCTGACATCTCATCATGACCAACTACTACATGGTCCAAGGAGGAAGCCCTTCCTTGAGGAGAAAGAGTCAAACCTATGAGTTAATGTCCCTCTAGTTCAGGCATGGGCCAACTTCGCCCCTCCAGGTGTTTTGGACTTCAACTCCCACAATTCTTAACATTCTAGGGATGTAGACTGCTGGAAATTGTGGGAGTTGAAGTCCAAAACACCTGAGGGACTGACATTTTCTCATGTTCTAGTTCAGGTATGGGCAAACTTCATCCCTCCAGGTGTTTTGGACCTCAACTCCCATAATTCTTGAGATCCTATGGCCATAGGTTGCTGGAAATTGTGGGAGTTGAAGTCCAAAACACCTAAAGGACTGAAGTTTTCTCATGCTCTAGTTCAGGTATGGGCAAACTTTGGGCCCTCCAGGTGTTTTGGACTTCAACTCCCACAAGTCTTAAGACCCTACAACTGTAGGCTCCTAGAAATTGTGGGAGTTGAAGTCCAAAACACCCGAATGACTGGAGTTTGCTCATACTCTAGTTCAGGCACGGACAAACTTCATCCCTCCAAGTGTTTTGGACTTCAGCTCCCACAATTCTTGCAATCCTATGGCCGTAGGTTGCTGGAAATTGTAGAAGTTGAAGTCCAAAACACCTGGGGGAGGGGTTGAAGTTTGCCCATTTATTTATTTATTTTGTATCAAAAACATTGCATAAATTAGTATAAAACTGATAAAAATAGAAGGAGCGCAGGAGGCTAAATATCTTTTGACCAAAAACGGGCAACAGCAATGGCATTGTGCGTAGCCTCCAACAATTCCTCCTCTGTACATGAGGCCCAAGCTTGTACTAGAGGGATGTAGTTGGACCATATCTGAACTAGAGGGACATTGACTTGTAGGTTTGACTTTTTCTCCTCGATGGAGGGCTTCCTCTGTGAACCACATAGTAGTTGGTCTGATGAGATGTCTGCTACCCTGAGGGAAACACAGAAGCAGCCCTAGCTTATCTATTCTGGATTTCAAATCCCATAATTCCTAACAGCCTCTGGCCCCTTACTTTTCCCCCTCAGCTGGAAAGGAAAGGGTCTGAGGCTGTTAGGAATGATGGGAGTTGAAGTCCCAAACACCTGGAGGGCCCAAGTTGGCCAATGCCTGCTCTAGTTCCACGGAGGACTAGGACTTGGGTTCTCCAAAACAGCCAACCAACTCGCATCTAGAATTAATGCAATTTGACACTGTTTCTCTGCCTTGGTTCAATGCTATGGAATCACGGAAGGCTCAAGACCTTCGTCAAAGGACAGCTCCCCTGATCCCATAGCACTGAGCCCAGACTGAAGCAGGGTCTCAACCCGCCTCCCTTCTCCAATGCAGACGCGCCCTTCCTTCTTCCGAAGCGCGGGACTCACGCAGGGACCGCCGGTAGAGCTGCCCTTCGGCCAGTTCCCTCTTCCACTCGGAGCGGAGCATCAGGACGGGCTCCTCCTCCTCCTCCTTCCTCACCTGCGGAGAGAGACACAAAGCGGGCTACTAACACGCCTGAGCCCTTGCCTCCACAGTGCACTTTGAACTGACGATGATGGGGGCTCCTGGTGTCCGCAGTTGGTTCGATAGTAATGTAAAGGTAAAGGTTTTCCCCTGACATTAAGTCTAGTCGTGTTCGACTCTGGGGGTTGGTGCTCATCTTCATTTCTAAGCCGAAGAGCCGGCGTTGTCCGTAGGCACCTCCAACGTAATGTGGCCGGCATGGCTGCATGGAATGCCGTTACCTTCCCGCAGGAGCGGTACCTATTCATCTACTCACATTTGCATGTTTTTGAGCTGCTAGGTTGGCAGACGCTGGGGCTAACAGCGGGAGCTCACCCCGCACCCAGGATTCGAACCAGAGACCATTCGGTAAGCAAGTTCAGCAGCTCAGCGGTTTAACTGCTCCACCGGGAGCTCTAAAATTAATGTAGGCACACCATTTCTCTCCCGCCAAGCCTATCTCTGATTGCCATCCCGTTCTGGGTGCCTCTACACCTAGAACTAACCCAGTTCGACACCGCTTTGGTGGCCATGGCTCCATGCTATGGAATCCCGAGACTTGGGAGCTCGCTCTTTGACAGAGAAGGCTGAAGACCTTGCAAAACTACAGCTGCCACTATTCCATGGCAGGGAGCCGTCTGACCGCCATCCCGTTCTGGGTGCCTCTACACCTAGAATTAACCCGGTTCGACACTCCTTCGGTGGCCATGGCTCCATGCTATGGAATCCCAGGACTTGGGAAGTCGCTCTTTGGCAGAGACGGCTAAAAACCTTGCAAAACGCCACGATTCCATAGCAGGGAGCCAAGGAAGTTAAAGAGGCATCAAATGGCACCCCTGGAAGACCCCCAACTCCCCTCCAGGGGACAGGGAAGGGGAAGCCAGTACCTCGGTCTGTTCTCACCTCGAAATACCTGCTCTCTCCTTCCAGGGCGGCCAGGAAGAGGAGGACGAGGGGACCCGCGATCCGGAGCTCCATGCCGGGGATGCTGGAGCTCGTGCTTCTCCTGGCAAGGAGGGAAGGAGCGTGGAAGTCGCCTCTCTGGCTGCTGGTGCAGAGATGGATAGACGGAGGGGTTAGGAGAGCAGCAGCAGCAGCAGCAGGCGAGCCGCTTCTTCGGGTCTCTTTCTCTCTCTCCCCGTTTCCTGCGCGACACCTGCTTTTTATAGAGGCCCTGGGAAGGGGAGGCACCCCGGTCCCCTGACTGATCGGGTAACCCATGGTAACGGGGCGACAATGGCGTGGCAATGACGCTGAAACCTCCTTCCACCCCAGGTCGTCCGCACTCCGAGTTCCCCACTACTCAGGGTGCATCGGCACTGCAGAATTAATGCACTTTGATGGCACTTTGCCGTTACCTAAGGTAGAGGCACTCCTTGGCCGAGAAGGCTAAGGAATCATAGACTCCTAGAGTTGGAAGAGACCTCGTGGGCCATCCAGTCCAACCCCCTGTCGAGAAGCAGGAAAACCGCCTTCAAAGCACCCCTGACAGATGGCCATCCAGCCTCTGTTTAAAAGCCTTCAAAGAAGGAGCCTCTACCACACCCCGGGGCAGAGAGTTCCACTGCTGAACAGCTCTCACACTTAGGAAGTTCTCCCTAATGTTCAGGTGGAATCCCTCAYTCTAATCCTATCACTAGTCTAGCTACTCATTGAGAACTGGAGACTTGATGTTGGAAGAGACCTTGTGGGCCATCCAGTCCAACCTCCTGCCAAGAAGCAGGAAAATCCCCTTCAAATCACCCCCCCCCCCACCACAGATGGCTATCCAGCCTCTGATTATAAGCCTTCAAAGAAGGAGCCTCCACCACACCCCAGGGCAGAGAGTTGCACTGCTGAACAGCTCTTCACACTTGGGAAGTTATTCCTAATGTTCAGGTGGAATCACTCACTCTAATCCTATCTCTAGTCTAGCTACTCATTGAGGACTGGAGACTTGATGACACTAGGGACGAAACCTTAATTATCAGCAAGCATTCCAGTGCTATGTTTGTAAATAAGTATGTGGCTAAAGCAAGTATAGACAATTGTGTCCCTTTATTGATTACTAGCCACCCCTTCCACACGTTGCTGTGGCCCTATCTGGTGATCTGGAAAATAAAGTAATGAGAAAGTGTTGGTTTCTAATATATGTAATGTCTTGATGCTTGTGGGTTAAAAGTATTTCTTGTTGTTTCTTTGTCATGTGGAGGTTGTCTGGTTTGCCTACTCTGGAACATGCAACATATAATTGTCCTTCTTTCAAATCTATACTATATTTGTGTGTGTGTGAATCATATCTATCTATCTGTATCTATGGCTGGATGGCTCTTTGTCAGGAGGGCTTTGATTACGTTTTCTTGCCCTGGTGAAGGGAGTTGGACTAGATAGCCTTAAGTATTTTCTGTTGGTCATGGGGGTTCTGTGTAGGAAGTTTGCTCCAATTCTCTCGTTTGTGGGGTTCAGAATGCTCTTTGATTGTAGATGAACTATAAATCAAATGTCAAGGTCTAATTCCCCCAAACTCCATCTGTGTTCATGTTTGGGCATATAGAGCATTCATGCCAAGTTAACTATAAATCCCAGCAACTACAACTCCCAAATGACAAAATTAATTTTTTGAGTGATGGTCACTCCTTGGGTTACTATGTGTCTTGTGGCCAAATTTGGCGGCAATACGTCCAGTGGTTTTTGAGTTATGTTAATCCCATAAACGGACATTACATTTATACAGATAGATAGATAGATAGATAGATAGATAGATAGATAGATAGATAGATAGATAGATTATTTAGAACATTTCTATCCCATCCTTCTCGACCTCTGAGGAGGGATTGAGGGTGGCTTCCAACAGGCAACACTTAGATGCTGATACAGTATAAAACACCAATAAAATACAACAATTATATAAAAATGGTTATAAATACATTAAAAACAGTTCATCAGGTTTAAAAGCATCATCCAGATCAGTGCAACTTGTGGTCCGTAAAATCTCATCTTCACCAATAAAATCCGTCTACTTCCATAAACCATTGGCTGTGCAACTTCCATAAACCATTGGCAATGCTGGTTTGAAGAGCATTATAGGCCAAGTTGGCCAGTCTTGGCTAAGCCTTAGACCAGGAATGGGCAAACTTGGGTCCTCCAGGTGTTTTGGACTACAACTCCCACAATTTCTAGCATTCTCAGGCCCTTTCCTTTCCCTCCTCAGCTGCTTAAGCAAAAAAGGAAAGGGAGAAGGAAGGGACCTGAGGCTGTTAGGAATTGTGGGAGTTTAAGTCCAAAACACCTGGAGGACCCAAGTTTGCCCATGCATGCCTTAGATCAGTGGTTCTCAACCTGTGGGTCCCCAGGTGTTTTGGCCTACAACTCCCAGAAATCCCAGCCAGTTTACCAGCTCTTAGAATTTCTGGGAATTGAAGGCCAAAATATCTGGGGACCCACAGGTTGAGAACCACGGCCTTAGATCCTAGTCCTGAAAAAAGAGGTCGGAAAGACCACTTAAATGTTTTCCTCTCTAAAATACAGCCATGATTTTCTAAGGCAGGACTACTCAATGTGGTGGTCTGTGGACTGTTGCCAGTTTGTGAGCCATTAACTGCCAGTCTGCAGGGAGTTTCCAGGAAACTATGTAAACATCATCGTAATATGGCACAAATGTGATACCATTTGGTGGCACATTGAAGGATATAATTGCATCAGATAACTTGAGAACACTGAGAATTCATGTTTGACACGACAGTCAAATGCTACAGAGGAGTGCTTACTGCTACCTGCTTTTTTTTTTAGCCATCTTTTGTACTGAACATACTTGCTTGTTTGTGCTAGACGGACCTGCTTGTTGCACGGATGATATTTCATCAACAATGGCACAAAGGTTCTGCCTGTAAAAACAATCTTGCCAGCATGTGCTTGACATAAAAACAATAACAAGAAGATAGGCTTGTGAGGCAAAATAATAAGCAACTTTTTGTAAAACAAACAAAAAAAGATTTTGTTTTGTTTTACAAAAGCAAGCAGTAATAATTGCTTTGAATTCAGTACTCTGTACCAGATTAATGCTGTGAAACTAAACCATCTCTACATCTGAACTTGTGCCTCACACACTCATATCCCAACTTCTGTTTTGCACTAGGAAAGATTGAATCTTACCTATAGAGACTGAAGTACAGCTGCACTTTGTGTGTCTGTTGTTGTTTTATGGCTCTTCAGCAGCACTTAACTTTTCCTCATTGCAACCCATATTACATGCATATATACCCAAGCCTTGCCCCCTTCCCCCGGTGGTGCAGTGGGTTAAACCACAAACCGCTAAGCTGCTGAACTTGCTGACCAAAAGGTTGGCAGTTCGAATCTGGGGGGAGCAGGGGGAGCTCCCATTGCTAGGCCCAGCTTCTCCTCTTTAAATAGAGGTAATCCCTAGATCCTGTTCATACTCGCAATTAGAATCAAACTTAGAAGCAGAGTATCTTGTAAGTATACACCTATTTGGTGAAATATATTGGTAATACATTTATTTTGATATATGTAACGTTTAAATGTTAATAGCCACAATTTGTTCCTTTTACCTAGATCCCATTGCAAAAAATTTAAGTATCTCTTATGAGAACATATGTAAAAGACTGAACTTTGTAAGTATTTCTAAATGCATTTTATTTCATTATGTTCAACCTATACAATTGTAAAATGTATTTATGTATGTAAAATTACAGACCACCCGAAGAAGGCCTAAAGCAAAGGCCGAAACCGGTCGTGGGAGGCTGATTCATGAACATACAACGACATCACTAAAAGACTATACAGAACTTATTGCATATTGCTTAATTTTGTAACTACTGTGAATTGAACAGTCCTTGTTTCACAATTTACCTATCTGTTGGACTTATTCATTATGTTATCTTTATAAGTGGATTATTGGTGTTTAACCTGTTTACTAAGGAACCCATCCATATTGTATTGTTCCAAAGCATTGCTTTGTTATGGCAGAATGGCTACAGGAATTAAGTTTTGATGATAAATTCAAGGAATCTTTAATTAAAGACAGATCACTTTTTGAAACTGGGGGATCCAACCCCAGTAACTCCAATAGGGAGACGAATATAAGGGAGTATGAAAAGTTGAAACGTAGAGAAATTAGGCTGGACTTGCATGCAACAACACTTGCGGAATACATTAGAGCCAATAGAATACCCAGGGGATTACGCATTTTTAAACCCCCAGGGATGTTTCAAGATGATGAGTCCTTTCATCAAAAATGGGTGGCAATTCTCAACAAATGTTCACAGGACTTGATGCTCCTGCTAATTGCACGTTCAAACGAGGAAATTGCCATCGTAAAAACTCAGTCTCTAGATGTGCTAGAGAAACTCAACTCTGACGCACAATTTGAAATTGATTTGGATACCCTCACGAGTAAACTTAAGGAATTTTCCACACAACTTAGGTCTTTTAAACTGAAAAAGTTTGAGAGGGATGAAAATGATTATAAGAACAACAAAGTTTATCAGTGGCTATACTCCAAACACTACCACTCCAGAAAACAAGTAAGATTTAGTGAATTTACTTCTGAAGAAGACACAGGTTCTATGTCGGATAGTTCAGGACATAGTGTGGCCTCATATAGGAGGGACAACAGCCACATACCTAGACGTACGGGTCGTATCAGAAACAAACCTAATCGTTTTTTTCAAGAGGCTCCGAATGTGAAACGGAAAACTTAATAGTGAACTTATCCAACAGAGTTTTAACCCCTCAGGAAGAGCATGTCATTAATAAAGGACTAACATTTGTCCCTAAACCCAAATATAATCCATTTAAGATGCGTATAGAATTAGCTAGGCTATTCCGTACCATTAGATTAAGACAGCACTTTGGGACTGCAATAAACAGCACCATTTCCACCTTCAAACCTCGTAGTAACTTTTTTCCTAGCACAGACCATATAGGACTTAGGGTTTTTGAAAAAACAGTATGTGAGGAACTATGTCACACATTCACAAAAAACAAAGGGACACACAGTACAAACTTTTCTAACAGTGAGTGGAACACGCTTCGTAGTTTAGCCAATGACAAAAACCTCATTTGGAAGCCGGCTGACAAGGGTGGAGCCATAGTGTTAATGAACCATACTGATTATATGAATGAGATCCACAGACAATTATCAATAAGAGAACACTATCTTAGTATAGAACGGGATCCCACACATCACATCCAATCTATTATAAAAACAGTGACAATGGAAGGACTGTCACTTGGAT